CACTAACAATAATCCTTTATGTCTCCAGACTCTATCCATGTTCCTTGTTAACCTTCAGTCACAAAGTAATGAGATGCATCAGACATCATCAAGCTGGCCTAAGGGGTTACAAATTTGGATGAGGGCCACATACTGTACTAATTGCTTCTAATAAATTACATATTTCAGGAGGGACATCATGATTTTAATCATTTATTCTGCATGTTGTTTCCTTTGGAGAGAAGAACAAGCAGGCACTAAACAAGTCAAGCATCTGAAATTCATGGCACAAGCTAGAAAGAGCTCATTTAATATCAACCATCATTGTAAATACTACAATTATGCAAGTATCAAATCCCTGGGTCTGAACACATTGGGAACAGCCAGTGGGTCCTGATTGTTTTAATGAGTCAAACCAAAATGATGTCTTTGAATGTTCCTTAGGTTTATAAGAACTCAGATTTAGTCCCATTTCAAATGTTGTAGCTGGGGCCTAGCTCAAGAAAAAGTCTTTGTTTCCACAAAAAGAAAAATACATTAAGAGGGGAATCTAAAGGATGTATTTCCCAAAAGACTGAGAAGGAAAACAGTCAAAGGTACCTTTCACCTCTGTAGGGAAAGACATTAATTATGATTTGATGGCAGCTAATTGTAAAGGTGATCCATCACACACCGAAAGCTGTGAGAACTGTCTTTAAAGACTGCTGAAATTAGTAGGATCTTGATGCTGATCTAAATAGCCTCCTGCAGGAATGAACTAGGATGAGTGAAGGTTTCCTGTTTCCCTGACCTCTAGCACACCCACACAAGTAGACTCACTGTTAATGAAATCCTCAAACCACTCGGGAATGTGCACTTCCTTCACAGGGGAGACCTTGATGGTATTTAAATAGCTGGTAGTATTAATAGCAATAGCTGGTAGTTAATGAGGAGACTTGGGAGCTCTGGGGAGCAATGCAGGTTTGGGAACAGCTCAGGCTGTCTTCTTGTTGTCTTTGTAAACCTTGCTTCCTGTCACTTCAGTCTCCATTTCCTTTCAAGGATGAGCTGAGATACCAAAAAAATGTGACTATCTAGATAGAAGGAAACCTGTCCTGGTATAAAGTATGCCTTGGATCGAAAGTTGTAGTTGTAGCTCTGAGACTCCAATGTGTCCTTTTGATTTTCAAGTGGCAATGAGATGCCAAGGAGCCACCATTACCTGGGATAAGTGCAATCTGCTTCTACCTTGGCAGTCTAAGCTGTCTCCCACTTGGTTCCTCTCTACCTGGGAGGGTTATCATCCCATTTTAGACTTCTCTGGTGAGTGTGAGGGGAAAAGGGGGATAATCCAGCAAGACTTCCAGGGACGACTCTAACCTACCAACCAGAATAATGAAGATATCTCTAATGATGCTATGGATGGATGGATGGATGGATGGATGGAGGGAGGGAGGGAGGGAGGGAGGGAGGGAGGGATGGGTGGATGGCTATTTGTGCTAAAAGAGTTGGACATCTACTTTCATACAGAGGAAAAGGACCAAAGAATTCTTCTTGGTTTCATCATACAGAACAAGAAGCAGATTAGTAAATAGGAGGATCAGGCCTTACGCAATGACAATTGACTGGAAAAGACTGTCCTAGGTGAAACTGGTGAATCTTCAAATTGAGAAACTTTACTCTGGTTGTTTTTATGGTGTTTTTCATAGGGAGCTTCAAGCCAACCTCTGCAGATAAAGAAGAAGACCTTAAAATGAAAGAGAGTGATGGAGATTAGATTAGCACTTTGGAAGTTACAGAAGGATGAGAAAATTTGAAGTTCAGACATAAAAGCCCAAGAGTAACATAAGAAAAAAGTGACACAAACAAGGGAAATAGAGGTGATGAATCCTCAGTTGGGTGCTACTGTACCTAGAAAAATATGTGACAGGCAGTAAATCACAACATACTAAAAATATGATGGATTAATTTGGTACAATCTTCATATACTGACTTTTGCAAATATTACATGCTACATAAGACTGTGGAATTAACAAAAACTAGTGTAGCAGCATTAGAAAAAGAAATATTTCTAAAAGCAAAATGGAAAACATCCTTGATATCCATTAGATCTGGTAATATAAAACTAACAAGAACACTGCACTGAGCTGTTATCTGGTTTGCTGTCTGATTCTCTCTCCAGATTACCACTTAAATCAATAGCTCTCACATTGATTTTTCCAGCACACTGTATTCCAGTAAAAAGAACAATGCTCTGAGATGAGTCAGCTATTTGCTCCGTCTGTAGGGACTCTGGTGCATTTTCATTTAGGAAAATAAAAGCAAGAGCCAAAGTACACACAAATATATAGTAATAAGAACCTGCCTGTTGCACCATAACATGACACTGGCTCTGCAGACACAAGGGTTTGCAATAGCTTGCTGCAGCAACTACAGACCCACCTTGAGCTAGCGTAAGCTGTTGTAAGGCTGGAACCAAAATATTTGGGGATGATCTTAGACAGATAATATTTTCAGTTTAGGTGACTGCTATAGCAGAGGGGAAAAATATGCCCACATTTGACTAAGAAGCTGATCTCCATATATTTACCATGATATGTAGATCCTTGGCAGTACTGCATTTTCATTTATTTAATATATTTTCATGTGTCTGTATAGTCCATGTAACATGTACTGTAGTCTTGGTACTGTAACCAGTCATCACTATTGTCTGACACTGTTTCTGCTCCTTTTAACCATGTTAACAATTTCCTATTCTGTTTGTTATCACAACATGCAGGCTCATTTACTCTTGCTTTTTCTCTCTTGCTTATCCATGAACTCATGGAAACCAGAAACCTTTCTCTTACACAGTTTTATAATTATTTCAAGGAACTTGCAATAAGTACCACAAAAATGTTTTCAGTTCAAAGAAGAAGTAATAATATCAAGAGCTACCTGGAGATTTGGAGTCAGGCTGAAACATGACTCTCTGCAGGATTTCTCTTGACCACATCTCTGCTGCAGGCACAGAAAAGTTTGTGCTGTAGCCCCTTGTCTCTCCCACAGCTCTTCACACACTGCTGCTGTCTCGGCCTACAGGCTCTGCGCCCACCTGTGAGCTTGCCTTATTACTGGGAACTTTGAGCTAAGAGCAGCTAAAAAACTACTAAAATGCCAGAAAAATTAGCAAATGAAAAAGTTGGTCCCTCTTTTTCACTACAAGTTCTGTTTTATGGAGATTTATTATCTCCATAATAAAGTTGTAAGAATAGCGTGCAGTTATGAAGCCTGTTATTCTGAAAATACTACTAAATATTGCTATCTTCTACTGCTATAAAACTAGAATAATTTAAATCATTACTCTGTATGTCTCAGTAATGCTTTCATAACATTGTGTACTTCACATTGCTATGTTTGTCTCCTAATCTCTTAGTCTAAACAAAATAACATTCATGTTTTCATAACAATGAAGAAGAAGGAATAATGAATTTCCTACATCAAGTAATTTTTAAATAAAAAGGATAATATTTATGACAGTTACACTATGGTAAATCTGGAGCAATCCAGCCTGTTTACAGGAAGGATTATCAGCTTCCAGGTGTCCACCTGTGTGTCTGGGAATACTGTGTAGCTGAGGGTGCTAAGGTATTGAGGAGAGGCCTTTTGTGCTTTGCTTTGTTCTGTTTACAAGATATTTCGGGTTAGTTGTGACCTATCTTGAATCACATACTTTCCTACTGTTCCCTGAGAATTAAGTTGATGTAGAAGCAAACTATGCCAGGCACCAGCTTAGGTCTCAGCAGGGTATTAAAGGTAACACTGGGTAGGCTACAGTCCTTGAGAGGAGGTATAAGGATCTGTTTTACAGAGCACTTCATTTGCACAGTATTTAGTTTACGCTTGTACAGCAAAATAATACAGCAGTGAGATCAATAGGTATTATTGTTACCCATGCAAAGCTTCTTTCTTCCACAAATTATTATAATTGACTGTAAGAAGATTATTTCTAATATCCAGTACACAAACTTTAGCCCATTTTGACAAACAGATAGTAAGTCTTGTGTGGCACCTGAGTGATGTTTTAACTGTTGCTAAGACAAGTACTAGGGAACTGAATCTACAGAATGAGATACACAGAACTGGCTGATATGGGAAGTTACTTAACAAGAGTGGCAGTACTTCACACAACAAATCAGAGATCCTACCTTTTTTTTCCAGATAGTAAATTGTGTTAAGCAGAACAAATAGAAATTGAGGATATTTGTTATCTCTCACGACTCACCTGGCAGGATAACATTTGGTCTGCAGTCTGAAAAATCATCCTGCACTGACAAGTGTCAGTCAGAAGTGCTGGTGAATATCTGTAGATCTTGCTTCACTGCAAGCACCAGCAAGTCAAACTCTGCTGAGAATCATTTGAGAAACAAGGCCTAAATGTAGCTGCTCTGATCCCAGCTAATACCCTTGCTGCTTTTACATTCATTCCCGAAAAGCACATAAATCCTTTAAACATTTACCGAGATTTCTCATTTCTCCTTATCATGACATGAAAGGCTTTACACTTCTTATAACCAGATACCCAGACCACAGTTTTGGTTATTCACCTTTTCACAACTGCTTGGAATATACGATATATCAGAAATATATTCTGAGGCAGAATATACTGGAGTGGTTTAAATAAGAAAGAGAACTGTCTGGGGTCAGCACCGATAAAACTTCTGTATTCAAGGAGTTTGTTTCAAAGCTTGGCATTGAATTATCTGTTATATCAAACTAATAAAAGTTTTGAGACTTTGCAAAAACTTAAGGGGTTTTTTCAAATAAATAAATAAATTCTGTGGTGAGGATAAGTATATGATTGGTATCAGCAGACAGTCAAGGCCAGATAGTCGCTTCCGAGTGTGAAAAGAGCGATGGCTAAGCACGACGCTTTCGGGGCTGTGGTGCTCAGGGGCAGAGCCTTGGCTCAGGCCCCCTGTTCCCCCCACCAGAGGGGGCCCGGAGCCCCGGCGGGCACGGGCCACGCACCCTGCCAGGCCGGGACAGCACCCACACAGTACCTTTGAGGGCAGGTGGGGTGAAGACGCTCTGCTTCCTTTGCTTGGGAGACGCGCTCTGGGACTGGGGAGGGACAAAACACAGAGAGAGGCAGTAAGAGACGGGCATGGGGAGAGTTATCTGGTCATGGCAGCTCCGGGTCTTGCCCCACAGCTGCTTTCAGAGGGTGCACACACCAATCTGAGAAGTTTCTAAAAAAATGATATTGTATAAATCTGATGCCAACTCCTGGGCTTTCATGAATAAAGGGGAAACTAAGATTAGATAGACAAAATACATGTTTAATGGACAACCTTTATGGCTCCCAGGTAAAACAGATACAATACTACTGAATATTACCCTTTAGCCTAAAAAAAATATTGTTAAGCATAAAATTAAGATGGTCTGTGCTTTTACCAGTCTACATAGCTGATTCTTATAAGGCAAATAAATGTTTACATATATGAAAATAGTTGCAAGATTTACATTAAACAATATTCCAATTAAATACAGTGTAATGAATGATTATATGTATAGCTAAGGTAGTACTGAAATTATTAGTATATACATTTTTACATAAATGGAAGATACCTCCCCCTGTACTTTTTCAATGTATTCTATCACTCTTAAAATAATAATTTCAGCAACCAATCATTCAGCCTTTAACTGGGCCTGATTTAAGTGATATATAAAGCAGAGCAACTTTTCAAAATGAAATCAGTTACACGGGTGTCTATATTATATGAACGTGAAATATGTTTGTATGTTTGTGCAACATGCAAAAGCTATACAAAGGATAAAAAAACTGCATAAGGTCACCCGCATAGGTAGCTTTTGAAGCACCATATCACACTCCCAAGAAAAATGTTAAAAACAGCTGTGTACAGGCAAGCTTTATTTTTTCTCATCTAAGCAATTTCTAGTTGTATTTGGTCATAACGATGTTGCCTTTACGCAAATATTTGCTAAAAATGCCTTTTTCCCTGAGTACTTTGAATGCTAGTCTGTGAATTTTAATCAGATCTATTTCTTCAAGGAACATTTGAGACAGCTCTTAAGAAAACCACTTTCACACAAGTATGGCCCTACCTTATCACAATGGATGGAATGATAACATTTATAAATAAAATATTGTCTTCTTTTGAAAGAGAAAGCTATTTATAAGCACTGTGGAATAGGTTGTTGATCCTCCCTCCGGTAAATCTTTATAAGTCTATATTTGAGTCCAAATTTGAAACAATCAATACCTCCTACTGCTATTTAAAGCTCTGCCTGCTTCTCTGAGCAATGGGTGAAGGAGAAAGAGATCAGGGAATTGCAGGAGCTATGCAAGGGGAAGTTGGAAAAGGAGATCGGAGCAGCCAACTTTTAACTCTTCTGCAAACTACAGCAATACATTGCCTGCTGTAGGCTTCGCAAATGGTGGGGAGAGGAGAGAGGAGTTTGCAGTGTGTTTGTAGACCAGCAGTGATCTGCAGACCCAAAGCAATGCTGGATGAGGTGACCTGGCAGTGTCACCTCGGGCCAGGTTTGCTATGTTTTGCCAGGGCATGACAGCAAGGCAGGGGGGAAACTTGCCTTTCTCAGTTCCCTGCTGCAGAGAGAAGGGAGAGCCGGCAGAGCTGAGATGCAACACAGCTTTACACAGCCCTGGTTTGAAAGCAGTGGTTCTTAAAAGTCTGTGTTACTCAAGATGGCCTGACAATGTAAAGAACAAATATTAACCAGGATGAATCAGTGAGTTTCAAAGGGGTTTTAACAATAGACATGTTTTAACAATAAATATATTTGAAAAAAAAAAAAAAATTCACTTACCTCTGCCTGTGAGATGTTTGTTCTCTTCTCATCTTTTTCTAGAGGAGGAAAAGATATGGAAAGAGAAAAGTTAGTACAAAAGTGTTTTTGAGTGCTAACCCTTGCGACTCTGCCCTGAACCCTACAGCACTATTGCAAATAAAAAGTCACTCTTCCCATTTGCAGCTTTTCTTTCTCTTTTGTGTATCTCAGAAAACCAGAGGCCCTGGTTAGCATTTAGACATAAGCATTACAGGGAAAGCACTTAACTCTCATTTTTTCTCTGTGAATTAACAGCAAGTGATGGAGTGCCTTTAGGAGCAGGTCCTTTGGCCAGGCTTGCAGCAGGGCTCTGTGCTCACCAGTGGCTGTCAGGATACGTGGCTGCTTTGCCTGGGGACTGCGCTTTCTTCTATAGTCGGGAAAGTCTTGGTTGCCAAATGGTGTGCAGCTAACTCATGAAAGTTTCTACTGGACTCAAATAATAATAACCATCTCACCTCAGATAAATTATTAATACACCAATACTAGTACTGAAGAGCACCTAAAAGTAATATGTAAAATTAAAAAAACAAAGCTTAACAAACACTAATATTTAATCTCAAAAGTTTCATGACATTATTGGACTGAAATTTTTTTCTGGAACTGTTTACTTTTGTTGCCTTAATTTGCTTTGCACTATAGGCATGGCAGAAATGGTCAATACCAGAGGTTTCTAATTAAAATAATAATCTCTGAGAATCTGTCTGAATAACTAAGTAAAACTGTATAAGGCATAGGGTCAAGGGTCTTCCTAACCCTTGCACTTAACCAGTTTTTACATGAGATTAAATTATTTTTCTACTGTTGTCTTGATGTGGTTAATGACCAGAAAGTGTCTGTCTTCTGATAATGATTTCCCAAACATTTGATGAAGATCATGTAGGACCTTTGATGCATAGTAGTTTGGAGTTTTAAAATAAGATGCCATTGAAAACAGACTCATCAACCTCTACTGTATCAACACCCTTTCTAAAATTTTCCACTTGCAGATAGCACTGTGCAACTTCCACTGAGGTGTGGCAGATCTGTAAATGTAGGTCTGAGGGAAGAATTAGGTTTTGGAAATAACACTTTATCTAACTTATTTTCTAGATATTGGGTGCTTGTCATGTGCTGTGTGTGAGGGGATGAGCCAGTCTGGGCAGATGGATTGCATTTTCTACTGTATTCTTTACCATTGTATACGTGTATCTTGCAAGCATTAATTGACTTACTGGATTTTTTCAACGTATATACTTCCCATTCCTTTTATATGAAAGACATTCAAATGACATACTAGAGGTTAAAAAGTATAGTTGAAAACAGTGCTGATTACTGTTTTCCATAGTCCCACAGATACAGAATTAGACAGGACAATCAGGAGGCCGGTTCCTGCCATTGACATTTGTATGAACTTTGGTAAGGTGACTAATCTCTTCCTTGACTTCCCTACCTGTAAATAAGTATAGCAGTGCCTATTTAAGTATAGCAGTGTCTATTTGCTTTTGTAAAGCACTTTGGGATATGAAATTAGGCTGGCTAAATAGGTGATTATTTATCTGCTTGTAATCTTTCTTCTTAGTTGTATACCAAACAGACACGGACTTCAATGATTCAACACTGGATAATTTTTTTTTTTAGCTCAGGATCCTGGATTTAGTTTGGAGGCTGAAATTTGAATAAATCAGGAACTTCCAGCAGAGAACAATGAGAAGTAAGTTATGTTCCATTCCTTCCTGAAACTCTAAACTTGCTCAGATTAAGAAATATGTTTGGTAAAGCCAAGATGAAGCTTGCATAAGGAACAAAAACTTCAATCAGCAGCTTCATCATGTTTCAAGTCTTGTTCCGAAGGATGTACACAACTAACCCTTTGGGCTTGCACACTTAGTGCTCTTACTGGGGTGACATTAAACCTACCAGAACTGGAAAGTTTCCAGCATTTCCTTCCACCTGGCAGAACTTATATGACAGGCAACTTTGAGGACAAAAACTGGTCCTATATGGAGTTAGAGAAATCATTCTTGTTCACAGGGCAAATAGGGCCAATGAATAACATCAGACAATATGGAAATTTAAAAATGACTTACAAAATCACACAAACAAATTTTTAAATCCAGTAAACAAAGATCAGAAATGAACCTAAAGGAACAAAAGAGACAAACTTGATGACATGAAGTCTTTCAAGTGAGTTGTGAGATGAAGAGGAAGGTAGAGCTGGATGGAGATGTAGTTTGGTCAGTAGTACATTTTGGCACACATTTTTGAGGACAGAAAGACAATTGCATGTTTATTTTTGACAGGCATTTTGATGGGTAAGACTCAATGGAGAGTATCAGTTTGATCCCTGAGTGCCATAGAGTGAGGCAGAAAGTAGAGAATAAACAAAATCTCTGCAGAGGAGGAGGAAAAGATGAAAGGCAAGGGGGACATGGAAGGAATATAGAAGCGCTTGTGTGTAGCTGAGGTAGTAATGAGATACAGGGACGGTGGGGTTGTAGCAGAAGTAAAAGGGGGAATTTAGTGGTAACAGAAATCAGAGCTGGAGTGCGGTGTGGGCTGGAGTTCAGTCAAGAGCTCTGACTGGGGAAATATTTAAAGCCATATTGGTCTAAGTGAAGGATTACATTAATACTGGTGTGAACATTCTTCCTTGGAAAAATAGGGTTTTTTCAGTATAACTTATAATGCTTTGAAATCACTCTAAATTAATGAAAGCATGCTCTTATAACATTCTTACTGAGAAAGTGCCCTTGTGAGAGTCAATGTATGCTCTCACTACAACAGGTCAGTTCTGGCATCAAGAGATTCTAGGCAGCAAATCTCTGTGACAACAGAACTTATGATGAGAATGGAAGTTACAAGGTAAGAAACAACATTATCAGTTATCTACTGAAAATCAGGCATATTCACCTATGGAAGTCAAACAAGCCATACATTTCCCACCCTTAAATTCCTCTCAAATCCATTGGCAATTATAAGCTGAACTTCTTAGAGCTTTAACCATAAATTCTTCTTGAGAGGGGTCGGGAAATAACCAGAAATAACAGACTGTGATATGAAATCCCTGGTTTCTCTACATCCTTCAGTTCCCATTGACTACTGTGCACTCAGGATTCTGCTCACAAAAAATCATAGTTGGACAGAATGAGAAATTTCCTTATCATGTTTATAACTAGGTAAATATATCACAGAGAATGTGAATTTAAGTGATAAACTATATCTTTCTTATATGAAACAAAACACAAGCTATCAGTAGATAACTTCTCCCTACAGATTTGCTCTCTTTTTGGGGGCAGTAGGGAAGAAGACTTATTACTGATTCTCCATTTTCTTCCCTCACAAACCATAACATTTCTTACAGAACACAATACAGCTGTATTATATTCCAAATCTGAACATATGGCATTTTTCCAGTTTAACTTATTCTTGGATGCTCTAATTAGCTAACAAAAATCTGATTACTGAAGTAATTTCTTGACAGTTCTTGTATTTTTGTTTTAAAGTAGCATAATATAAATCATGTGAAGAGCCGAGAAGAGATTTGTACATACCCAAGTTTCTGGAAAGTTGAGGTACATAAAAACAAAATTGGAGCTTCGTTTAGAGAGTTTTTACACCTGTGTTGAGGAAAAAGCAGTTGAGGACTTTCCCCTGTGCTGGGTGAATAATATGTGAAGCTAGTGTGACCCTTACCTCATGGAGACTGGACTAGCACCTGGCAAATAAGTTTCAAGTTTTAGTCAGTGTCCTCAGGAAAAGAAATACTTCATGTTCATTAATGAAAGGTTCAGTCTAAAGGATATTTCCATCAGTCCAGATATGTACACAGACTTTCTGAAATGAAGCCTTACTTCTTTAAGAAGAGACTTTTCTGAAAGTTCATCTACTTGCACAGAGCCCTTTTCAATATTAGACCTCTAAGCTTTAGTATTTACCCAGGGTAAAATTTCACCCACTTGCAGGAAAACTTGTAAGATTTGTCCTGGCTATATTGCTGAAATATGAAGAAAGAAACACCAGGGGATTTTTCGCCCAAATGCTCTTGTTAGCAGAGTTCCTTTGAATGTTTATTAGCACATCCACTCAGCCAAGATAATATAATAAGCCGAGCTACCCCAAAGGTGTCATTATATGAGATCAGAAAGGAGCTGAACGGAAGTAAGCTGGTTGTAGCCAGGGTGACAACCGTTTCACGTTGCTGATCACTTTTTCCATGAATCTCCACTGTTGTACAAATGGCATGACCATGCTGGGGGAAGACTTGTGGTCGTTTTAGAGTAAGATCAAAATTCATCTGACTCTCTTCTCCCACTGGATAATGTTAATGCACTTGGAGCAGCTATGCAGGGCAAGAGGTGACCTATTTTAAAAGACCTGGCCTCTGATATCACCCATGGGCTCTGCAGTGGAGTCATCCAGCAAAGGCTTATCTCATCCAGCTAATTACTCTGCTTTCTTTCCCTTGGCAAGAGCAAATAAAAGCCTTTTCTGTAGGGTTTCAGTCATACACTGGAGGAACAGAACAAGTCAGACGGTCCAGCTTTTACACAAAATAAACTCAGCAAGAGGATAGTATAATTGTTGAAGAAAGCTTCTTGTAGAGAGCTTGGAATTTTCCTTGGGAAAACAAAGCTGAGGAGTTTCAGGTAAAAATCACGGGGGGCTGAGTAGGGCTTTTGATTCAGTTAGTTTTTCTCACACTGTCTAAATTTCCCCTTAAAAATAATAAACACAATACTCTTCAACCGCTCAGATAGTGGAAATAGCCCATGAGCTACATGTCTATAGCAGGTTTTAGTTAAAGGATGATTTAAACAAGAACAGTTGGAATCTGAAAGAAATTAGCCTGAAGAGAGACTTTAAGAACCCAATATCACTGTCATTCTGGAGCATCCTTACAATCCTGCCTCCACTCCTGTGTAAACAGTGCCACTGGAGAGAGCAAAGTAGATGAACAGAAACAAGGATCTAGCCTTTCACATGCAAACTTTAACATAGAACACTCCAAGCTAGAGACAAATCAGACAATGCTGCT